GTTCTCCCCATAATTTTCTGTTTCTTCATTAATTCATGTGGCAGATTTTCTCTGTTCTATTGGCCCTGAAATCCCTTCCTTCGTACGCGGCAAACCGTCTTATGAGGGCGAGAGAAATGAAGACGCGAGTTAATGAACTGCCTCGCGCCTGCAATGAAAATTCAAAGTTCACGCAGTTTAAGAGTCTCTACTGATTGGATTCAGAAGGCTCACGGAAACGACCCACTACACTTCCGACAGATAAATTATATTTCTATTCCCTACTGCGATGAGTTTACTAGAAGTTCGTTCGATGACGACGTAAAGTGGACACGAACTATCAGTTTACGTGAAGAATTAAATGCGTCTTTAAACATCATCGTTAATGCCGTATCAGGACTGAATACACACTTGCATTCCTTGTATCTTACGTGGACAACATTGTTTCAAATTATGCAAATCACGTGGTCTTTAAGTTCCATAGATCAGTAATGAAGCCATAAGGCGCTTTAACTATTTGGGACCCGAACGAATACGATCCCAGAATTGAATCTCGGTGTTATTTTACATTTTACAAAGAATTAACAAACCAAAGTTTCGTATTTTCGGAAAATATTTCGCCGTACATCAATGTATGGTCCTATTGCAAGTGTCGACTCCATCTCACAAGTTTGTTTGCCCGCCATGTTGGTAATGCCCGTCGTAAAACATCGAAGAGTGACATTTTAGGAAGGTCCTCAATGGCACACCGTCCATACCAAATTTCATCCAAATCCTTTAGTGGTTCTTGAGTTGAATCGTGCGGACAGACGAACGGATGGACGGACAATGCACGCTTTCATTTCAGCGGCAGTGAACGTGGCTAGACTGACAATTTGGCTAACACCCCTCGTCACTGTATTAATGTTTGCGTTCCAATTTTGAGTATTTTCCGTCGAATTTCATGTTCAACAGAAAATTACAACAAATTTTAATAGCTGATGTTCTTCAGAATGGCATTTGTCGTCATGTATGAGTGTTTTAAAAAAATATTACACAAAAATTAATAAATTACATGAAATAAATGCTGGTACCTTCCTATCGCATTCCGAAATGGCATCCATCACATGTCTTCTGCATTGTTTAACGCTGTGACGAGTCTGGTGCCGTGTAAACCCCTTAAAACAGATCGCTTTATGCATTAAGTCGTGTAAAGGCGATTACCGACGACAGACTGTTGATGCCTTGTACCGCACTTCGTATTCTAGTAATCGCCTGACTAAGAGGCCCAAAGGAATATCACAAGCCAGGCCGACCAATCGGCCCTGTGACGTCACAGCACATCGCGTCATTCGGAATTTGAGTTTCTTAATTCTTTCCGTGTCCGTTGGGTTTTATCTGTTCAGTTGGTGACCAAAGCCTTGGCAGAATCCACGTGGACCACTCCAGGGCTGGACTCGCGTAATAGACGTAAAAGTTTAGTTATTAAGTAATTATAACTCCGCTGTACCAACTGCAGAGATGATGATAATTGCCTATGATTCTGAAAGCAAACGGCCGAAACCCGTGTGATATTATCATAAAAGGAATCTGCTGGGAGGAGCGAGGAAAATCACGAAATATTTCGGTCAGGACAGACGTTTCCTGACGTTACCGCTGAGCCAACCTGCTCGGTTCATGTCAGTACAAATGGAATAGGAAGTTGGAAAAAAACTGGTTCGGTATCGAGTGTGTTGGTGGAAATTTTAACGCTCGGGGAAGTTTTTTTTTTTTGCACGCTTTCAACAAAATCGTTAGATTAGGTCAAGCCTAATTTTCGAGATTGTTTTTCTTGTTGGCATGTTGGTAGGCACCGCTGTAATCAAAATGTATTCACTCGAAACTCCATTAACGTGCAGGTAACGCCCTGTCAAATGACGAATATTAAATCTGCCGCACAGCCACTCATTTGCATTGTAATGATTCATTTAACTTGCCTCGTACCTGGTGGCAACTCAATCAAGTTATTAAGCCTCGCTTGAGGGGAGGGTGGGCACTTGGTCAGAATTTGACTGTCAAATGTCTCACAGACGCTGGGCGCTTGAGGTAACGTTCGGCTGAACGCTGGACCCAGGCGCCGGAATATTCCGGGTTCCACTCGTTTCTCATACGTCTCTTACGGTAATCAGGGTTCGATTCCAGACAACAGACGGGTTTGTCTCTTCGCCCCAGGGTCTGGGATCCTCCTAACCCAACCCACCCAAAGCCAGTCTTTCGCAAAGCTACCGGAGTGTGGAACTAACCAATCACATGCGTCGCTTTCGGAGTTAAGAATGTGACAGATTCTTCGTTTATTTTCCCCCTCTGAGCCTTCGTGGCGCAGAGAATTTCAGAACCGCCCACGAAATCTACCAGACTCGTAATTATCACCCAGATATTCTACGTAAAATGTACAAAGCTATAATTTTGTGTCTTGTTGCGTGTGGGACTGAAACTCGGTATCTCTTTGAGGGGAATGGTTGACGTAAAAGGAAGCGGATGAGGGGAGGGCGCAAGAAAGTGCAATCTCTAATTCCTTTTGGTCTGTCCTCTGAAGATGTTCTTTCGTTACCCGAACCATTTACGTGGCCGCGGGAACTTCATTTCTGCCACCTTAATCCCTTCCCTGTCTTTCCTTCTGCTATCCCTGGCACCAAATAACAGTGCCACGGGCGTACGGGACTTTGTCTTGGCGTCTTTTATCGATTATTCTAGGTAGAAATGAAAAAAAATATTACGACACAACGAACTGAAAATCTTAAGGACAGAGACGCGAGAGAGTGATATTAAAATGGTCTTAGAGACATGGGATGGATGATAAGGTTTTCAGTGGATTCAGCTGGCTTTGAATATAATCCAGCCGATGGATTTTATTATAGTATTGGCCATGAATCCTTTGACGAAGGAGCGTCGTTCATTAGTGACATTAAGCAACGGAGCCCTGTGGATGCGTCAGTCTTATTTTCGGGCGATTTTATCCAGAAGTGGAATGTGAACTCCTCAGTATCTTATTTAAGAACGCCGTCCCTTGTCCAGGTCACGAAGTGTCGAAAGATGGGTTCATCGATAAATAATGGACTTGGAAGAACGTAGAAGTCGCCGTGGCCTATCTGAAGGAGCAATCCCGATATTTGCCTAGAGGAACTCTGGGGGAAAAAAAGATAAACCTCGTATATTGGGATCGCCTGGTCCAGGGCTCGGACTCCCGGGTGTTGTGACGGCGAGGCACTCGTGTCCAGCTGCTGGCAGGGACGGACCGTCGTTCCCACCCGCGGTCACCGAGATGTCGTGTCCCGCTTAAAATATTCAAGCATGTCGTTTGAAGATTTATTCGACAATTCCTTGTTTCATCGACGCCTGAATTATTGATCAAACGACTTTCACCTACGGATGTGTCCTGAGAGCAAGAAGGCGGGATTAGGAAGGAAATGCCCTGAAATTCTTCTGTGGAGTACGCAGCTAATTTCGACGGAGGATGTCTTGATCTCCGTCCGATGACAGCAAAAGGTTAAGACATATTTCATATATGTTTTGAGAAGGACGAAATGTGTATGTATGTGGAAATTGTTCACAAATATGAGATCGCCCTGATGATGGAGGCAGTAAAATCCTGAGAAATAGAAAACAGGCATTTTTCTGCAGTTCCTCCACACTATGGGACCGGACCATGGCGAAGGGAACGCCCCTTCTGGCGAGACAGGATTTTCAAAAACCTAATACGCCTTAAAGTAAGAAAGTCGTAAGAAGGAGCACAAAAACGACTTTTGGAAAAACAGAAACACGGATGAGTGTGAACTGGTGATTATGGCGACGCTCGTGGTACGTGTTCAGCATGCAAAGGGGTCCAGCTCAGAAGAAGACTGAGCTGATGTCAGGATAAATTACGAAAGAAGAAATTTGGGCGATGGAATGAAAAAATTGAGAGCCCCCTTTGGATTCCCCCGTCAGGACGCGGACGTAACCTCGACCGGGGGACTGAACGAATTCCGTGTCTGAAAATTCTCTGTGGTTTAAATAACTGAATTATTAACCGTGAACAGACGAAGGTGTCACATGAATTCAGGGCCTTTGATTAAACTGGATTTTATTTCTGTCTTCGTAGTTAATTGAAGTAATTGAGACCATTCAACACATCGTGGGCGCACTTTATATAAGGAAAATTAGGTTTAAGGTTTACATGCGTCATGTTTGTGTTTTTGATTAAAATATATAATAAAATACAGGTCAATAAACAAAACTTTATTTGGATGTTAAAATTTAAAATTTAAATGTTAAAATTTTAAATTTTAAATTTGCGCTATTCATCACTATAAGGATGTTACAATTGAGCGCTTTCATTCATTTCACAACATGTTTCGATGTAATACATCATCTTCAGGTGTTTTTTTTTAAACTATTTTATATTATAATGCATGCCTTTCAATATATTCATTATTGTAACATGTGTTCCGCTGATTCTCCCGTTTTACGCATCTTATGTTTGTTTTGATTATTCATAAGTCGTGTTGTGTGGTGTATCACGTCTGCTCGGGTTGACTGTCTGTTCATCCTTATAGTGATGAATAGCGCAAATTTAAAATTTTAAATTCTAACATTTAAATTTTAAATTTTAACATCCAAATAAAGTTTTGTGTATTGACCTGTATTTTATTATATATTTTAAGGAAAATTAGATTTATCTCAGTGATTATCTTCTTGCAAGCTTCATGGATAAACTTCGATGTGCTGAATTAGACAGTTCTAAAAATAATCATCGCTTATTCTTTCCTGCGACTTAAAATTTTTCTGTTTTCTTATTTTCGGGTTAGGTCAAGGTTCACTTCGTGAGCCTCGAATTCCGAATCGGAGGAGGCCAGAAGGCCTGATCGACGAAACCTGTCAGTCCGCTCAGATATGGACGCTAGAATTACTGTCGATTTGTGACGACGAGCGTCGGGGGGCGGGGGACGCCGCGGCGACATGCGTTGCGCGTGGTATTAGCAGGGGAGGGATGCCTGAGCGTATATAAACGGGCCTGTCGCTCACACGGCACCGTCACTGCGAGTAGTGGCTGCTACAAACACGTCACAGGGAACTCCCGATTACAGCAAAAAACGATTCTTCTTATCCATTCCGTTTTCGAAATAAAAAACTTCTTTTCGGTCCAGATTTTGAAAGAACAGGGAACCGTTCGAACGGTCAGATTCGAAATTCAGAACTAAGCACGCAGAAAGCACGCTAGTGGCTTCGCTAAGTCATCCCAAAGTCGTCTGATTCATCATCTCTTCACGTCGTTTTCCGGTGTAAGGTAAGTCCCTGCATCCAATTGGGTTCATCTAACTAATTGCAGATTCTTTGAAAGATAAAAACACGCTTTGTGCTGTGTGACTCTTCGACTGGAAAACGCAGAGGAGAGATCGCCTAACTTTACTTTATTAGGATAAAATATTTTTTCCCAGGTTTTAAATAACCCCAAGTGGCATGGGATTGACAAAAACTTGGGAATGCTAACCTCTGCGTCTGACAGAATCAGTCTTATGATTTACGCGTTTGCAGTGAGAACGCCGTGTAGGTCCGGCAACTTCTCATACACGCGAGTGAAGCGGTTTCGTATACCTATCTGTGTCATTACCAATACCTGGATCCAAATTTTAATGATTAAATCATCTTAAATGTAGGAAGGACATTAATACGTCAATTTACGCACCAACTTATGAAGCAAAAATTACTCTGTACTTTGTGTAAAAGGTCTTTCTTCTATCGACAACAGAGTTCAGGTTTGTTAGACTTGTTCTGATCTTACGGAAATTGTTTCGTCTTAATAAATCTCCCCTAACTCGACGTCTGCAGCTTGAAAGGTATTCTGGTTGTGGATCACGTGTTTCGCGGTTTGTTCGTGTTACTTACCGTAGTTAATGGGCGAAATATGGCACAGTAGACGGTCCACGGGAATTCGGAATCAAAACTCGATTATTCTTACTTTAGGTAATGCTCTGAAATGACTTTGGCTCCATCAAGAAGTTTCATGTTTTGTTCTTAGTCAAAATGGGCACAGCTTAAAACGGATCCTTGACGAGATCAACGAAGTTAATGCAGTGGAGTCCTTATTTAAAGACAATAACTCAGCTGGTCAAGATTTTGCGCCTTAATGGGGTCAGAAGGTTCACGAGAGCCCGCCGCCGGTCCCTATCCTGAACGAGATTCATCCAATCCACATCCTCAAATACTATTTCCTTACATCCATTTTAATATTATCCTTCTATATAATCCTGTGTTTTCCGAGTGACCTCGCCCCTTCAAGCTTTCCAACAATAATTTTGTAGGCATTTCTCATCTCTTAAAATAATATTTGGCTAAGACGAAGCTCCTTGCTACACGAATCTGAAGCGAAGATCTTGGAATGTTGAAGGGCCAAGGACCGGACTCTTGCCAACGCATTTGTTCCGTGAAAGACAAAGAAATCTTGTTTAGTTGAGCTACTGGATTGCCATAAACGACTCTCATGCGTGCAGTCAGTTAGTTAGTTTGTTTGTTTGTTAGCTAGTTACTGCATTTTGTATATGTAATGACTTCAATTGTGACTCCTTGAGCCGGTTGTCGGCCATTTCATACAAACTGTTCCTTCGGAACGCGAGAGCAAAGCGGGCGATCGGCCAACGTGAGTCTCTGCCCTCCAATGTCCGGTTGGCCACAGCGGGTCATTATGCGCTCTGAAATGTTAGCAGACGCGTAGGAGGGAATGGATTTTTAAAAAAATTGAGGAAGGTTTTTTTGAATTGCGATCCCCAGGAAATAAGAAATTCTTCGTTGGTCGGATTTTCGATGTGGACGAGAAAGTGACTCTGAAGCTGGTGATAATGAAAATGATTTGCTTCGTGTTTAATTTCTCTGTCTGCAAGTGCATGTCTCATTGGCCGTGGTTAATTTTACTTCTACTCGTTTCAAATCGTTTCTAGACTTCTATTAGAACCCGAGAACTTGCAGCTCACAACAAATCAGTCAGATTAAAGGAATAGGCAATGAGTCACACCCATCTCAAGGCGCAACGGACGCCGTAGAATTAGCAATGAAATCGTCTTGGGCTTCGAGTGGAGTCACTGTTGAGAAAACGGATTTTTCGGGGACATGCTGTCTTTATCATCAGGGCATATGGTAAATATATTTTTTTTTAAAATTTGTTGCAATTCGATTTTGTCCAGCTTTGATGTTTACGTTGAATATCTGACGGTAATTAGCCACTTCTTTCGTTAGCAACTGGCAGCGTCTGGTGAAACTGCTCGAATGTCCGTCGGTCCGTAATGGGACAGGACATTGTCCTGTTCAACAGTTCAAATTGCTTGCATTAATGTTTCCACGCGTTACTTAACGATGTGAGAATTTTAAAAACTGGCTGATTTAAAATTTCATTTTATGCTTAAAAATCTAATCTCTCACGTGTGTCAGGAGCAGACAAGAGAACTTATTTTGTAGGGACGCTGGACCACAGGGTGTTTCGAAGACATTCATTCTCGTATAAGCAGCGCGGAGTCAAAGAGGATAATCCTTTCTGTCTGTCTGTCTGTCTACCTGCACGATACGAGACCGACACACCTGAGGCCTGAGCTAATCGTTGAGGCAAATTTATTCTGGTCTTTTTTGTTAAAGTGTAAACTTTACATTAACGTGAGATCAAAAGTCTTCGCTGAAACGCTGTTCAGTATTGTGTTCAGGATCGCGACAATACAGACGCACCGAGACCAGGGTCCCGGTGATTTTGAGTTCCGGAGCTCCGCCCTGGAACTTCTTTCAAACGCGGACGGTGTATTCCAAGGACAAACATTGGTGGTTTGCGCCCACAATTTCAAACAAAAGTAGGGAGTGTGTTAATCTAGGAACTTAGAAGAAATATTCATTATCTGTGAAAGAATGCGAGTCTGTTTCCTACGGTGTTAAAAATCTCTAACTTGTGTAACTTGTTTTTATGTTTGTGGGCTGTTTGTAGTTTGATTCCTAAATAACAGAATTCCTTCACGTATTCTACTGCGTCCTTCCAAATTTTGTTACTTAATTCTCATTTCTGATGCTCCTCGTAACTTTTGTCTCGCTTTCGTTTATCCTTAAGCCGAATTGCTAGCTGTCTTTATCATCAGGGCATATGGTAAATATATTTTTTTTTAAAATTTGTTGCAATTCGATTTTGTCCAGCTTTGATGTTTACGTTGAATATCTGACGGTAATTAGCCACTTCTTTCGTTAGCAACTGGCAGCGTCTGGTGAAACTGCTCGAATGTCCGTCGGTCCGTAATGGGACAGGACATTGTCCTGTTCAACAGTTCAAATTGCTTGCATTAATGTTTCCACGCGTTACTTAACGATGTGAGAATTTTAAAAACTGGCTGATTTAAAATTTCATTTTATGCTTAAAAATCTAATCTCTCACGTGTGTCAGGAGCAGACAAGAGAACTTATTTTGTAGGGACGCTGGACCACAGGGTGTTTCGAAGACATTCATTCTCGTATAAGCAGCGCGGAGTCAAAGAGGATAATCCTTTCTGTCTGTCTGTCTGTCTACCTGCACGATACGAGACCGACACACCTGAGGCCTGAGCTAATCGTTGAGGCAAATTTATTCTGGTCTTTTTTGTTAAAGTGTAAACTTTACATTAACGTGAGATCAAAAGTCTTCGCTGAAACGCTGTTCAGTATTGTGTTCAGGATCGCGACAATACAGACGCACCGAGACCAGGGTCCCGGTGATTTTGAGTTCCGGAGCTCCGCCCTGGAACTTCTTTCAAACGCGGACGGTGTATTCCAAGGACAAACATTGGTGGTTTGCGCCCACAATTTCAAACAAAAGTAGGGAGTGTGTTAATCTAGGAACTTAGAAGAAATATTCATTATCTGTGAAAGAATGCGAGTCTGTTTCCTACGGTGTTAAAAATCTCTAACTTGTGTAACTTGTTTTTATGTTTGTGGGCTGTTTGTAGTTTGATTCCTAAATAACAGAATTCCTTCACGTATTCTACTGCGTCCTTCCAAATTTTGTTACTTAATTCTCATTTCTGATGCTCCTCGTAACTTTTGTCTCGCTTTCGTTTATCCTTAAGCCGAATTGCTAACTGAGTAATCTATTCATACCATTCAATAATTTCTCTATGATTTTATTTATAATTTAGACGATGGATTAAGTCCAGTAAACCGGTTTCACGGCTTAAAGATTGGATTAAGCTGTCGCAGAACAGGATTATTGTGAACCCGCTGAACTCCTTTATCTGCGTATCCATTAATTTATTGGTAATATATTTTGAGTGAGCTCTTGGGAACAGCTGAAGTTCGATTCACTTCAAATTCTCGAAATAAGCCCGGGATTCGATGAACCAATCGCTTCGTGGAGTATCTTTTGAGAAGTGGCTCGGATTACACTGAAATGCCGTGGACTTGGCTTATCCTAAAGTTCAAACTTTCGGTGCTTATTGCAATAGTTGACTAATTAATTGGATTTCGCATTCTTATCCTAAGTACTAATTAGTTGCATCATGTTTCGCTGTTGGAGTGGCTTAAGCTGACGGGCTATTCAAATGAGAGCCGATGCGGCCAGTAATTAGAGAGGTCGGAACAGGCGTAGAAGCAGCGAGATGAACTTCTGAAAGTGAGGAGAAAGATTCTGTGACGACAGAGAGAGATAACGAGGGTTAGGAGAAAATGGGAATGGAGACTAGACAGCACAATTGGGATGACGTTCCATGAAAATCCGTCACTGGATTCAAAAGTTGAACAAACGGTCAAGACCTTCAAAGTCTACCTACCACGACGTAAATCTGTCTAAGTTGTTAGAACGAAAATTACCTCGTTGTTCTTTATTCAGGAGAATTAATTTCGTAAATCCTTTTTTTCTAATCTTGCGAGATGCAAATTTGATTCGAATCATTAATTTGTAGAAACAGCGTTAAATTAATATGCCAGAATGGTGCGCGGTTGCAATTGTCTTACGTGAGCTGATAAATGGAGAAAGTTCAACATTTGACGGGTTTGAATCACGAGGGGAATGAAGTTGTACGAGCAGATTACAGCACGTTCATGTTGGACAGGCCGAGAGAAACATGGCGGCCCTGAGGACTCTCGAACGAAGTTGTCACTGAAATATAAGAGAATTGGACTGCGTCAGTAACGCAGAAAATTACGTGGCGACAGTCTCATTAATTTTAATCTACGCCTGGAATTTGTTTACTTAAAGACGGTCGAAATATGAGTGAAAGAAAAAGTACACACAGAAATATGATTGGGAAACTTTACTGGAATTGTAGAATTTTAGGTTCTCACGAGGACGGC